GTGGAAGACCTTGTCCGCCATTCTGACTACACACGCACTCCAACAGCGAGAAAGATGCGCATGTGTGTCGTAGAAGCCAGCACGCGTGGAAATAGTGGAACTGCTTTGGGCCAGTTTCTAGTCAGAAAAAGAAACTGCTGAATTTGAGCCAGCATGACTGGCATTGGCAACGGATGAAGGAGTTGCGATAAAGAGAGGAGAGTTCGACGGGAAGGCGACCTTGAAAACCAAAGCACTCGGAAATGAGCAGGATGGGTTGCTTACTTGCAGGATCCTTGAAACGAGCAACTGACACGTAGGAAAACTTGGGAGAGTGGTCTGCGTGTGCAGAGGTCAAAGTACCGTAATTACTCAAATCTAACGCGCACCTTTTTTCCGGTCTAGCGAGTTCATAAATCACATGCGCGTTAGAATCGAGTACGAAAAAAAAAATGAATACGGTCATTCTGTAGCCATCGGCACTTCCGAAATGGCCGCCCCCTACATGCGTCGGCATGGCGCGTCGACCATTTCTGCCTATATGTTTCCCATGTGGTGCACTTCGTACGTGTGCTGAGGAGGTCGTCATTTTGTACTGCATTAGCGTCGACGGTATGGAAGGAGCGACTCCAAAAACTCGTGTGCACCACGATGATGCTTTTAAAAGAAAAGTCGTCGCGTGTGTAGAAATGGACGGAAATGGGCCGCATCGCGGTCGTTTGGAGTTCCCGAAACGTGCGTGCGGGACTGGCGGAAACAAGAGCACAAGATTGTCGACAGCAAAGCTTTACGCAAAGGCTTCAGTGGACCACAGCAGGGTCGGTTTCCGCAAATTGAAGAGCGTCTTGGCAAGTATGTGCTTGAGTAGCGAGCGGCACAGCGGCCCGTGACGACAAAACTGCTCCAAGTGCGGGCTAATCAGTTAGCTTTAAAATAGAAAAAGGGCTAATGCAGAGCCAGTTTAAAGCGAGCAGGTGCTGGCTAACTAACTTTATGAAAAGGAAAATCTTTTCCCTCCGAAGGCGAACGGGCATATGCGAAAAGTTTCGAGAGTACAAAGAAAAGCTTCACAGTTTTCAGAGGTTCGTCCTAAACTTGCGGCACAACAACAGCTACCTGCTTGGGCAAATCGGGAATGCCGATCAGACGCCTCTTTAATTCGACATGCCTGGCACCACAACCGTCGAGGAGAAGGGGGCGAAGCAAGTTCGTGGGCTGACATCGGGCCACGGTAAAACTAGAGTGAGAACAATGCTCCGTTGCACGTCAGATAGGCACAAGCTTCCCCCGTACCTCATATTTAAACGGAAGACGCTCTCGAAAGGAGTCATTTTCCCGAGTGGTGTGATCGTGCGGGCCAACGAGAAAAATGGGTGCGCGTTGCAATCGATGTCTTAGTTGTTTTATTTCCGTCGTGGTAACCGGGTGCGCGTTACAATCGAGGGCGCGGTAGAATCGAGTAAATACGGTATTGCATTGTGGCACCGGCGGACTTGCGCGGCCCCGCTGACTTCGATAATTCGCGATTGGTTCCATATCAAAGTTCATTTTAGGCTTATGAACGTGTGCCGAGGGCATGCAAAGCCGAGTGCGAAGTGATCAAGAACAGGTCCTAAACACGGGAGAAATCGCAAATTGTCAAAGTCGGTGGGCTAGCACGAGGGCGTGCACTGGAACGATACGACACCGATTGACAAGATGCAAATGAATGGGTACAATCGGTGGCCGACAATGTTGACGAATGATCTGGTCACTCCGGGCTGGCGAGGCCAACGACAAAACCAACAATCAAAAACTGAGGGGAGACTATTTGGCCGACCAGTCTTCAAAAGATTTGTGGCAGCATAAAAATACGGGCCTCGCCTGGTGAATCGAGGTTCTCCGAGTAGATGGGGGTGAGGGATGGAGGGGTGTGTAACAAAAACACCGGCAACCAAGTGGACACGGCAACCAAGCCGCAACGATGTCACCTAACGTACCCCTACTCGTGCAGGTTTTGACGGGATGCCTTTTTTCGTTCACCGGCCCATCGGCGTTTCGCACGGGCCAGCTTGATCTGCGTCACACCTTTGATGCACCGTTAAAGCTCGGCACGGGTATCATTGCTGGTGATATCTTTGATACGCCAGTGGTGCCGCGCCTGCAGCCCGAGCATCATCTTTACTGCGCACACCTACGTGGCATGATGACGTCACCATTTCAGCCCGCCAGCGCCACGCCAGCGGCTATAAAAGGGACGCCAATTGCTTCAAGCGGCAGTGGACACGGCAACCAAGCCGCGACGATGTCACCTAACGTACCCCTACTCGTGCAGGTTTTGACGGGATGCCTTTTTTCGTCGACCGGCCCATCGGCGTTTCGCACGGGCCAGCTTGATCCGCGTCACACCTTTGATGCATCGTTCAAGCTCGGCACGGGTATCGTTGCTGGTGATATTCTTGATACGCCAGTGGCGCCGCGCCTGCAGCCCGAGCATCATCTTTACTGCGCACACCTACGTGGCATGATGTCACCAGTTCAGCCCGCCAGCGCCACGCCAGCGGCTATAAAAGGGACGCCAATTGCTTCAAGCGGCAGTGGACACGGAAACCAAGCCGCAACGATGTCACCTAACGTACCCCTACTCGTGCAGGTTGGTGACTGGAAATATGGTTCCCGTAGTGACGATCCTTGCTTAATAGTGTTGCCGTGTCCACACACCATTCTAAACTGCATAAGTGATTGTTTTGCGCTACCGGGTCTGTTGCTTTCACTGTCGGGAGATGTCGAGCAAAACCCTAGACCTATTACGGATGCAATGTTTAAGGAACTACTAGAAACGCAAAAAAACTATCTTGTCTAAAATTTCGCAAATGCAAGAGCAACAGGCCTCATCTGAGTCTGCTATGATTCAAGTTCAAAACAGATTATTAACAATTGAGAAAAAATTAGAGTGCATTGATAAAGTGGATGGTAGGCTGCTAAAGCTTGAGAATGCAGTCGATAGGAGCCATACGGAATTGAGTGCTCTATGCAGTAGGGTTGACGACCTAGAAAACTGCTCGAGACGAAACAACCTTATTATTAAAGGCCTAAAAGAAGAAGGCTCTGAGAATGATGATGACTTACTAAAAAAATAAATGACGATATATTTGGCTCTATTCTAAACCAGAAACTGAATTCTATAGAAAGAATACATAGACTGGGAAAGAAATTTCCTGGCAAAGACCGCCCTGTAATCCTTAGAGTGGCAGACTACCGAGACAAAGTAAAGATACTGAAAAATTGTTTCAAGCTAAAAGGCACTCGTATTAACATTAGTGAGGACTACTCAAAACGTGCAACTGAGATACGGAGAAACTTGTGGGTCTCAAGTCTAGAAGAAAGAAAGAAAGGAGCGAAAGTTAGACTGGTTTATGACAAAGTTCTCATCAACAATGTTTTGTACACCTGGAGTGATGATGTCAAGGAGAAGATCAAGTGCAAAGCATCTGCTAAACCCAACCACCGATGACCTGAAAGAGAAAAACAGGCCGATTTTAAGATCAACCTAAATGCTCGCAGCGTACTGAACAAAAGTCACTTAATAGAAAGTGTAACCTTGGAATATCATCCTGACATATTGGCAATCATTGAGACATGGTTGCACAGTGATGTACATGAAGTGGAAGTCACACCGCCAGGTTACGTCTTAATAAGGAAGGACCGAGGCGGGAGAGGAGGCGGGGTAGCAGTTATGATTAAAAGAGACATAAAGTATCAAACTTTGCCAGATGGTGATATTGAAGCCGTATGGGTAAAGATTCGATTAAATGATCACCCTGTGTACATTGGAGTTATGTACAGACCCCCCTGTTCTGCTACGACTCTGACCGACTTGAGATGTTTTATGGATTCTAATATGCACCAGGACGACAAAATAATTTTGATTGATGATTTCAACTTACCAGGCATTCAATGGGATTCGCATGATATTATAGGAAACGAAGTAGCTCATTGTGAACATCTTTTGGACATTGCCTTTTGTTTTAACCTATGCCAAATTGTGTCTAGCTACGCACGTGTTTTGAAGGCTGTATCCTCTATTCTCGACCTTGTATTTGTGACTTCACTCCTGGAGGAGAATGTTAAAGCATGTGATGTAATTGAAGGCATATCAGATCATCAGATGGTTGTTTTCCTTGGATATGGCGTTCGCTAGGTTGCACAAGGACTACAAAAATACAGTTCTGAACTTCGCAGCTGCTGATGACTTCTCTGTTTTAGAAAAACTTGAAAACTCTTTCGATACTTTTGTTCTCCTGCAAAATTCTAATGCATGTACAAATAGACTATGGGATTATTTCTCACAGGTGGTCACTGAATGCATTCAATTCTATATTCCAACACGACAAAAAAAGATAGCAAAGAAAAATCCTTGGATAACGCGCGACGTGATCTATGCCAAAAGGCAACTGAAACGAAAACAGAAAGCTCACTCGAAAACTCCTTGCCCTGAAGGGAAGGAAACCATTCACACTATGAGCCAGGAATTGAGACGTCTAGTTAAAAATTACAAAGATAATTTTTATAATGTTAAACTAAAAAAGTTCTTGCACGAAGCACCCGAAAAGTTCTGGAGATACATGAAACCAAACACAAAAACCCATCCTGATGCAGATAAAGGAAACTCACAAGCACGTGCTGAAAGTTTTGATGCCTTTTTTTCGTCAGTATTTACCCACGATGATAGACAAGTACCGACTTTTAATGAGGCTTCGGACGCACCTGTCATAGAAGGAATAACAATTAGTGAATAAGGAATATTGAACCTGCTCCATAAAATCGACAAAAAGAAAAGTGCAGGACCTGACGGAATACCAAATGAATTTTTATATAGGTACGCAGTTTGGGTCTCGAAGTACTTGACAATTATTTTCCAGTCCTCTGTAAGTAGTGGTTGCTTTCCCACTGCTTGGAAGGTTGGTAAGGTCATACCGATACACAAAGGTGGTAATACTAGCGACTGCAAAAATTTCCGTCCCATCTCGCTCACAAGCACTTGTTCAAAGATTCTCGCGCATATTGTCTCCAAGCATCTTTTGGCTTATCTAGATGTTCACAACCTATTATACTCACAGCAACATGGATTTCGAAAAGGCCTATCTACTATTACTCAGCTTGTTGAACTTGTTCATGATCTCTCCTCTGAAATTAACTCGCAAGGTCAGGTTGACATGATACTCTTAGATTTTGCAAAAGCTTTTGATAAGGCGTCCCATGCTAAACTGTTGTTAAAAATAAACACTATCTTTAAAAACCCAAACCTAACGCAGTGGTTTTCCTCCTATTTCTCCAATAGCAAGCAGTATGTTCAAGTCAGCACGGAAAAATCTGCCCTTGCCAATGTTATTTCTGGAGTTCCCCAAGGCAGTGTCTTGGGCTCACTACTGTTTTTGATTTTTGTCAACGATTTACCTAAAGATATTACGGTCCCCATAAGGTTTTTTTGCAGACGATTGCGTATTGTATAAAACAGTCAGGTCTCCTACCGATCAATCAGAACTAAATCTAAACCTCCAAAAAATACAAAACTGGTGCACCATTTGGCAGATGGATCTAAACGCCACAAAACCAGTAGCGATGACCGTAACTAAGAAAAAACGCATTCTAAATACGACGTACTCTATAAACGATCATGAGCTTGGCAGAGTAGAACAACACAAATATTTAGGTTTATTAACTTCCGATCTACGATGGAATTTGCATGTAGACTCCGTTTGTGCTAAGGCTAACAAAGCATTGTGGGGACTTCGGCGAAATCTGCACCATGCTAGCCCGGAAATCAAATGCTTGGCTTACAAGGCTCTCTTACGGCCAATTATGGAGTACGCAAAGGTGGTATGGGATTCGCACAACACAAGTAATCGCACTAAGCTAGATAGAATACAAAGATTGGCGTCACGTTTCATATTTAACAAATACCAGAGCTGCCACTCCCCAACTCAGCTTTGCAGGCTGGCCCTCCTTGAACCACTACAACAAAGGACAGAGTATTAAAGACCTAAATTACTCTTTTTAATCTATAAAGAACAAGTAAAAATAGACAAATCGAAGTATATGTATATAAAAACTGGGGAAACGTCAAGGCACCGGCATAACATGTGCATCCCCCCTCCCAGATCACACAACGATTGTTTTAAGTTCAGTTTCTTTCCGCGGGCGATCAGTGAGTGGAACAGGCTGCCGAATTCCACTGTCTTATCAGAATGTGTACCTTCTTTCTTGAAGGGCCTAAGGGATGTCGTGTCTAAAGATGTATAGTTTATATTTTGCTTATTCTATGTCCTCAAAAGCAGAGTGCTTTGACTATTTCTTGTCATTCATTGTCATGTATAATAGAAGTTGTATAGGGAGTACCTATTTTTCTGTATGTATATTGGTTTTTTTTCCCACCTCTGTTATAGCCCAAATAGGGCTGACAGTTGAATAAAATGAAAAAAAAAATGAAATGAAAAAAATGAAAAACAATCAGGGAGAGCGACATCTAGAGGGGTGCAGAGGCTGGGTCGGTGTTTAACAAGAAGAGTCTATTGGCACCCCGCCGATTGCTCACCAGTCGTCGAAAAGGGTTTCTCTGAAAGTCGCCAGAGTGCCGACTCCATTCGTTGTATGTGCAATTTTGTGCCATTGAAATAATGTAGATTTTCATAATCATGCGGGTATCGTTCATTTTAAGCGAAAGTTCGTTTTAAGTGGGGCCGTTATGTGTGGGCTCGATTGTATTCCATTCCGCTAATTCCACTGTTGAATTCGGTTGAAATATTACTCATATGCCGTTGTTTTGCGGTTACTCTGTGATGAATTGATGTGTCCAGTCGGTCATGTCTTCGACCATTACTGCCAAAACGTGGGACAACGGGGGCACTCCCAAGCGAGGGAACGTATTGTGGGTCACTCACACAGCGGTCAAGCACCCTGTCCCCTCACTGTCAGGGGAGTACGGCATGTAGAGTTCCAGTTCATTCGGCCAATTTCGTTGGAATGAACTTTTCCTGCTTCTCGAAGTCACACCCGGTCTGAATCCACTGAGTCTCTGATTGGAACACTTGACTCCCGCGCTTACTCTGCCATTAGAACACACTTGCTCCAAAAAAAGCAGAAAAACTCGCTCATACTCTGCCGTTGGAATTCAGCATCAGACTGAACGCCGCTTAACCTTCATTTTATTGTCGTGCCCCCCAACATGGTGGAGCTGAAATATAAAACAAGGAATGGTATTGCTTACGTTGAAATAGTACGGGACACTGCGAGAATTATTGGAGGTGACGTGTGTAATTCGTGCAACTTGTTGCCTGAATAGAAGTATGACGGTTGACAGAAACATTAAAACATAGAAACGGAATCTATGCCTGTTATATTTTTTTCGTTTCATACCGAGTAGATGCGAGACTAAGGCTCTTCCATTTTGTTTGCGTTGGTGTTCTCACCAATATATCATAGTGCTGTTGCCAGCATTCACAACGCTTGGCTTGTTTTTGGTCCATCATTCCTTATAGCAGTTCCAGTGGTGCCAGCCTCCCCAAACGTGCGCGCATAGAGGGATTCAACCCAAGGAGGAGGCAGTTTAATACTGATAATGTCAAAATGACACAACACTGCTTGCGTGCACGGCTTGGCATGGGCATTTCATGCCAATGTAACCTTGCGTGTGCATGACGTGTTGATGCGCCTGTGTCAAGTGATCTTCCGGCTCCGAGATCCTTCGATACCAGAGAGGGCAGGGAAGGAATTTCGGCCCCTTCGCAGTGGTCTAGTGGCTAAAGTACACGGCTGCTGACCCGCAGGTCGCGGGATCGAATCCCGTCTGCGGCGGCTGTATTCTCAATGAAGGCGAAAGTGCTCTAGGTTTGTGTGCTCAGATTTGGTGCACGTATAATAACCCAGGTGGTAGAAATTTTCGGAGCCCTCCACTACGGCGTCTCTCATAATCATATTGACCCGTGTCTGCTTGTGAACGACAACGATGATTTGGGGATTTAGCGGACACCAAGTAGTGGGCCTCTGGCTTGACTCGAGAACAAAGAGGACAATCTTGCGGCTCAGCTGTTAAAAACATGCTGCTTTCGCTGCCTCAAGGCGTACTTGTGCTTTGTTCGCGTTGTACTGCGACACTGGTGGAGGTGCTGGCCCGCAACCCCACCTGATGCTCCACACTCCCACGGGGAGCCGTTCATCCAGCCCAGAAGCACTTGTCGACACTCCCGTGCATCGCTTCAGTCGTCGCTTGCGAAGCCTCCCTGCAGAGTTCACCCCCTTGCAGGAACACTCTACAAGGCACCGCTCACATCTACCAATGACCACTGCCAGTCCACAACAGTTACTACGAGACAATAGTCCGCCAACCCCATCTCAGGTAATCTTTTTTTCACCGCCGGTGCCTGATCGCTTTGGTGGGGGAGCACATGAAGACGTCGAAGACTGGCTTGATCACTATGAACGTGTCGCCAACACCAAGCAGTGGTCTCTTTGTTC